GTATGGTTTTTGTAGGTTCTTATGTGAGTAAGGGGGAATACGTGTCTGTTGGGTTTGGCAGAATTTTTGATTGGTCACCCGTAGGTATATGCCATGCCCAGTTGGGGGATGGCGGCACTTGTTCTCCAGGCACATTGACTTGCCAGAAGAAAAATGCCGCCCATGACCAAGGTATCGAGCCAGCGTCGTCTGCGTCGCGGCCGACGCTTTACACCGCTCGTCCACTCAGTCACCCCACGTCCCCACCCATAAATTATTTTAATAACAATAATAATATCATAAAATATTTGAGCATACTTTGCAATATATAGTACAGGCTGACAGACCGGCTCGCTCAGATTCCTACCCTCTTTACCTAATGTTTTTTATTTATTTTTAATTTAATTTTTTTTTGTGTCTGTCATCACATTTTAAGACAGTAAAAGTGCTTGGATTTTCTTCAACAGTAGCTTTTCTGATAGGAAAGTGAATCTAGTTGGTACTTGGGGGGGGGGGTCAAAAGTAAAAATTTCCCAGTAGTTTTCAAAAGCGGCGTGAAAAACAAAATAAAAATTAAGGAAAAACAGGATTTTTTACATTAAAATCTGTTTTTGAAAAAATCGATTTTGGTTTTTGGTGCAACTCTTAAACAAATGACCATAGGTACATAAAATTTTGACTAAATGTTTATATTAGCATTTTCTATACACGATAACATTTTCAAAATATTTTGATTTATTTTGAACTGTTTAGGGACATTTTCATTTTCCATTTTTTTTAAATTTTTTCTCTAAAAATATCAATAAAATTTTATTTGTTAGTTAAAAAAGCTTGAAAATGTAATACAAGGCTCCTACTATATTGTTACAATGGCATTTGAAAAATATTAAAAATACATAGGCACAGTTTATAAGCATTTAAAGTTCAAAAATTGACAAAATATGAAAAAATCACGAAAATTAGCAAATTATTTTGAGTTAAGAATTTGTAAAAATTTTTCTTTTAAATCTAAGATTTTAAAATGTAATACAAGATTCCTTATGAGATTATATACCTTTATCAAAAAAAAATGTCTATATGAAAGTCAAATTTAATTTTTATGGACGTTTGAAACTCAAATATTTACAACATTGGATATTCACTCAATTTCTCATGTAGCGATTTCCTTATTTTGATGTAATTCAAAAACGAATAACTGTAGATACATGCAAATTGCACTGAATGTTTATATTAGCATTTCCTACACACCATACAATTTTGAAAATGTTTTGATATATTTTGAGCTGTTTATGGACATTTACAATTTTAAATTTTTTAGTTTTTTTTTCTATAAATATCATTTAAGTTTATCTGTTGGGCCCAAAAGTGTAAAAATGTAATACAAGGCTCCTGATATGATGTTACATTATCAGTTGAAAAATATTTAAAATACACAGGGACAATTTTTTTTATAAGCATTTAAAGATCGCATTTTGACAAAATGTATCAAATTTAAAATTGAATAATTATTTTGTAGTTAAAAATTTATAAAATATTTAAATTTTATATCTAAGGATTGAAAATTTAAAACAAGATTCCACGTAAGTAGTTTGTTCTGTTACCAGAAAATCTAAAAAATACAGAAACACAGTTTATTTTTATAGTCATTTTAAGTTCAAATTTGGACGAAATTACATAATAAAAAACCTAGAATAACTATTTTAGTTATTTTGTTGTGAGTGTATAATATTATTCGTGGGTACTTGAAACTTCTAAAGTGTACTATTATATATCTATGATAGTATCACGGTTTTTGTTGATGTGTAACGCGTTACCATATCCATGTCCAGTACCTAATGGATATTGTGATATGATTAATTTGGAATTTATTATAGGTACATATTATAGGTCAATATTTTTTAAAGTACCATGGTTATGTATATATAATATGTCTTAAACCTAGACTGACATACCATCTCCGCTCACTGCTCAGAATCGTTTTTCTTATACAATGATATTATATCATTGAATTCAAATTTAATACCATCCATTATACAGTGACCCACTTGTAACCTACTGTACAGCAGAACACCTTTTTTTTGTTAATGTTTTCGATATATCGTCATGGAAATGAAGTTATTATAGGCTGTTGAATAATAGAACAATAAAGTTAAAAGACATATATTTAACATTAAAACTTTTCAGTTTGTTTGTTGACAGTCTCTAATACGTGTTATCGACATAGTGAATGTTCGTGACAAATTAATATTGAATAATATATATATAGTCACTGAAAACCAGCTAATTATTAGACAGCTGGTGTTGGTTGGACGACATGTTATATAACACAACAATAGTTAACTTTGTCAATTGAGATTTAACCTCTTTACCATATAGTACTGTCTTCGTTATTATAGCCAACTCCAGTCTATCTTTTTACAAACGCTTAACGGTTTTCTTTTCGAATAAAAGTCGTGCCCGTTCATATATTTTTTAATTTCTTCAAGAAAAATAATATTAAGTGATTTTTGATTATGTTGTATTCTGTAAGTAAAAATTGTTATAACTTGCTTCGTGCAATGCAGTGGTGAAATCATATACTTTTGAAATAACTAGGTCATTCGAAGGATTGTAAATTATAATAGGTAAATATACCTAACTCATATAATATTTTGTAATATTATCTATGTTTAAATCTATTCTGATTCAAGTGCACAAAATGTTTGTGATTAGCGAGGCACACTATTAATAATAACGTAACGTCATAACATGAAATATTTAAACTCCATGCATAACCAAACGGTATGTAACAAAATAATATGTAATTTAAAGAGCGTTGACCTATAATGCTTATGACTTATGAGTAATATTATATCGACGGCAACGAAAAAGGTCCTATCTCGATTTTTGTGACCATCATCTGATAAAGAATATTTTTCTGTATATTATCCCATGAAAAAGATCGTATGTCTATTGTTCCAAAGAGATTAGATATTAATTATTTTTATAATTTCCCGAAATATCTATTTCCTACGAAAACCGTCGTATGTTTAGATACGAAGAATTGACACAATCCGACAAATAAGGTCGTATATTAGTATATTACATTAGATTTTAATATTATTATTATTTGTTTCATTATTTATAATTATTAATTCGTAAGTATAGAATATATTACCACTTTTTTTAATAGCTTATCGCCATCGAAGAAGGTCGTAAGTATAGATACTACTTTTTTTTTTAAGGTAATATCTCAAAAAAACCCATGAAAGTTTATTTTTTTTTTTAAATGATATATTCATATTTTTTATGATCATAAACAATATAATATGTATCCAAATTTTCAAACTTATATGTTAAAAAACAGAAGAAGAATTTATATTTGAAAGTTAGTGTGGTTCATCTTGAAAAGTTGCAAAAAAATATAGGAACTTTTTGTTTGGGGCCGTTGATATGACTTTTAAAAATCAGATGGGATATTTGATTCTTATAAAGAAATGTAATTATAAATAAACGAGTACACTGTACACTATGAACTTTGGGTTAATGTTGTACGACATTTTCTTGTATGTTTAAATGTATTCTGATTCAACTGTACAAAGTTCGTATGATTATAGTGAGGCACAATATTATAACAATGTAAGATGAAATATTTAAACTCTTGGCATGTTATTTGTATTTAACAAAAATAATATTTAATTTAAAAAAAAAAGTTTACTTATAAGTTATAACGCTTATGAGTTATACGAATCATTAAAACCAAATGTGATTTTTGATCAATGTATTCATATTTACAATTCTGCTCTAAACATGGGCAATAATTTTCCAAAGTATAGTAGACACTCATGATTAGTCATTAGTGATAAATTTAAGTTATCAAACATATAAGTATATAACCACGTCTTTTAGCTTAGAATTTTAAACAAATATAACAGGTATTATTATTTACCACAAATGTAAAATCATTACTACACTGACGCCTCCAAAACAGAAAAAGGTGTATGAATAGCAATTATTAACGAAGATTTCAGTAACAAACTAAAACTCCCTGAAAGCTGTTCTATATACACGGCTGAAGCTATACCCAAAACGGTAGAACACATAATACATAATCATTATCAAGAAAACATCCGTAAAAGCAAAATAATTCTGTCAGACTCACTTTCCACACTCATGAGCTTCAAAAATACCTATAATCATATAACTCCACAGATATAGAAAAACTTATACAGCAAAAAACAAGCCAAGCAAGTAAAATAGGAATCAAAATATCACTAATCTGAGTTCCGGGACACGGTGACATAGAATGAAATGAAAAGGTAGACCAAGAAGCTAAAAAAGTAAAACACAGATATTCCCAAATTAAATACTACTACTTTTTCAGATATAAAAACCAAATTAAAGAACTGATTAAAATCAAATGGCAAACGCACTGGCTCAAACAAAACACTAAATTAAGAAAAATTAAAAACTCCATCTTCAGATGCCGTAACTCCCTCACGAAAAGAAGAAAAATAGTAATAATAAACAGACTCCTCATCGGACACACGACATGACAAACCCATGGTATCTCATGGCAAAAGATGAAAAATCAATGTGTACCACCTGTGGTACCGAATTATCAATCAATCATATCCTTACAAAATGCCTTCAGTACACAGAGCCACAGAGGTCAACAGAGGACGACAAATTCACTAACGACTAACCTACCAAATTTTAACTTTTTTAAGAAAATCTGAATTGTTCGATTTAATTTAAATATTATTATTAAGAATAATACATTAGAAAAGAAATAATTGTAATTAATATAACAGAAACAACTAATAGACGTTGTCGCTGATGTTTTGTTTAAGATCAATAAAAAAAAAAAATGTACAATGTATTTAAAATTTTAATTTAATTTAAATTAAATAAAGGTATAATATTAAAAAATGAAATCATTTAGTAATGCTTGTTATGCTTATTATGCTTATTAATTTGTATGTAATTTATTAATATAAATGTATACTTTATTTGTTTAATAGACGAAGAACTTGATAAGAATGGACTTTCAGGATGAGCATTCAATAATTAATTTAAAGTTTATGAAAATTACTGGAATCTATCAATTAATAAGACCATCAGATAGCTTAAAATTATTCAATATGAATATTTATAAAATGTCATTCATCGCGCAAATACAAATCCTTTCTATTATTACTATAATGAGTTTATATAGCATTTATTCTTGTATAAATGATGTAAATCAAATATTCAATTATAGTGTAATGATTTTCGCTACTAACTTTGCAATTTATAAGTATTACTTTATAATCAAAAATGCAAAAACCATTTGGAATTTTACGCATAATATGATGTCCACTAATTTCTTATGTTATAAAGACCACACAAAAGAAATATATAAAGTTGCTCGAACTAGGAGCTCAACTATAACATTGATTTCTCTTGCTTTGTGGTCTTTTATTGTATTATATTGGAGCTTGTCGCCAATTTTAAGCAATAACAGTTATTTAAAGGTAAAATTCGAAAATGGCGTACAAGGTTATCGCTTAAATGCTCTTGGGTTGGTATATCCGGTAACTGATACATTTTACAATAAATATTTCCACGTATTTTACATAATTGAAACAATTGCGTTGATATGTTGGGCTCAAATGATGTGGGTTTTCGATATTCTAATGATTTCGGTGTGTATAAGTATTGAATACCAACTTAAGACTATTGCTGAATCGTACAGTGGTCTAGGCCTCAATCATAGTGAATTGACGAGTGAGTTAAATATTTAAAAATATTATCGAATTCATATTTCCAAATAGAACATTTCAACAGAAAATGAAAAACATTCACAAACTTATTTTACTTGTACTTATATGCAGGTAACAATAAAAGTACCAAAAGCGTTGAAGCTATATCAGATTTAGAAGTGCTAGTTCAAGATCAACAAAATATTTACGAGTAAGCAAATATATATTAAGAGGTCACCACACAGTAATTTGTTGTCTCCATGATGCATACCATAACGAATTTAATCTCAGTAGATCACGTTTAGCTCCGTTAGCTTAAGAACCGCATCAATCGACTTAATATATGAGATTTTATGGTAAGAACATTATCTGTATTTATATTAATATGTGTTTTTTAGGATAGTTCAACTTTTTAGCAAGTTATACAATTTATCGTAAATTGTAAAGGTTCATAGCTCACTTAAAACTGAGTTATCATAAAAAAAAACTATATAAGAAGATAGGCAATGTTCTTACCTTTAAGTTTCATAATAGGTATATTCAGTCTAATTTTTAAACTAACGGATTTAAAAGTGATCTGCTGGACATGCATTTGTTATGTTACGCACTTGTCAGACGGAGACAACAAATATCTGTGTAGCGTCCTCTTAATGTAAATGTTGATCAACAATAAATTAACAATACAATTTATAAGTAATAAGTATGATGATTTTTTAGCGTTATAGGGTAGTTAAACTATGATTACTTGGAGATTTGTTACTTATTTTCAGCAACTTAGTATTTCTAGATATTCATTTTGAATGCAATGAGATTCTTAAACAATTTTATGTTTTCAGAAAAATGAAAAATATGTATCAAATACTTAAGCCATTTACATTTATTCAAGTAGCAGCTGAGTCATTTCAAATTATTTTACAGTCTTGTATGATTTTGAAGGTGGATTTATTACTATTGGAAAAACGCTTTGTCTTATATTAATTACATATTTGTGTTTTAGTTTTATTTTGATGGATCATTAACATTAACTTTTTTTCTTAAGTTCTTATTTCCGGAAATAACATATTCATGCCATTTATTCCTCACTTGCTACTTGTATAGCATTGTTAATGAACAAGTATGTATAGTTTAACCTGGGAAATATAATTTGTTTTATGTTCAAAATATTTCTGGCTTGAGAATTAGAATATAATTTTATAATATGCACATATAGTGACATGCTTCATATTATGGGAATAATGAGTATGATCGGAATTTAATTTCGGATATACGCATAAATACCTAAAATTATACTTTAAAATAATATATTTTTTTTTAAAAATAATTATTAATAATTACAAATTTAAAAATTTTGTAACATCAAAGAAATAGTTGATTTTATCTTGGAAAATTATATACATTATAGGTACTTTCATATTTTACATTTTAATTTGATTTTAGAAGGAATCTATGAATTTTGCTCTTTATAATAGTAATTGGACGGACATGAGTATTAAGTTCAAAAAGTTACTATTGCTTATAATGCGGATGAATAATGCTGAGAATTTGAAGATGAAAATATCGATGAAAAGAATGGTTAATATGGAAATGTTTGCGGATGTAAGAACAATAATTATATTGATTTAATTTATTCTATTATAGTAATTAGTAGGACAATTACATATTATTTTTTTACTGGTGTGTATAGTATAATAATATATAACAATGACGTATTCAAAACAATATACATATAGATAAAATGCATATAATTATAAATGGTTAGATGGTATATTGTATTATTAATTTTCATATATTATAATCAGTTTCAAATATTTTTGTGTTTATTACATTTTTGTTTTAGGTTATGCACACAGCATATCGTATAATATCAGTGATGATGAACAGTTATAGTACCTGATTAATTATAAATATACGAGTACCTGCACAATGAACTTTTGGTCTGTGTTATGTACAATTTTCTTGAAGTTGGCTTGAATTTTTTGACAAAATGATTTCAGGAAAACATTTTTTTTTGTAGAAGTAAGAATTTAGATAAAAAAATCATAATATTAATAAATATATGGTCAAAATATTTTACAATATTCAGAAATTATAGAAAAATGAGTATCATTCATTTTTAAAATAAAAGCTGTTATAAAGAGAGGTAATATTATATCAGTTTGTATATAGTGTGATTTTTTTTAATCATTTGTTATATCTGAATTTTAATTTAAGATTTACCCATAAAACATAATACTTTGTAATTAGTCATTGGTATTAGATGCTAATCGTAATATATTGTTTTAAATATAAATTATATTATTTGTTTTATAAAAAATGACAAAGAGTAGCCAAATTATTAATATAAAAAATTAAAAAAAAATAATCACCATTGAACTTCCACATACTATATACATAATATTATATTATAATGATGTGTACTATTATATCACCCAGTGAAATTATAATACGATATAAATATCATACTCCACCTATGATGTTTAATATTTTAGATGAGCACTCCCAGACGTATAAATCTTAAAAATCATACTCTCTTACCAACCACGAGACCACCAAACGGACATTTTCGACCATATCATCGGACATTTCCCACAATAGCGAATAGCTTCAAAATAGCCCGTACAAACCCTGAAAATTACCAGTGAGTGGCCCAAAAGCAATAAAGACAAACATTTTTTTTTTCTATGTTTTAGAAAAGTCAAGTCTAATTTGTTTGTTTAATCCTTATTCTTTTTAAGTAGCTTAAAATATATGACAATAATTAATAGGTATAAATTAGATATCTAATAGTTATAAATGCTCATGAGTCGTGAGTATTTCAATAATATTTGAAATGATTTTTTTTATTGATTGAATAATAATATTTATCCAAATAATTTTGAAAAGTAGAATTAATAACACTGATAGTCGTTTTTAAAAAGTTTAAATAAGTACCTGAGTTTAAAAAAAAACATTGGGAAGTAGGGAACTAATATGAATTATTCTCAAATCACTAATGTGAAAATATGAAAATATTTACATATAGGTAAAACACTCGATTTAAAAGTTTCATACTTATGAAAATGTTAGTTTGCTAAATATAAAAAATATATTTGTATTATTCAACATTTCACATGCACTATACGTCTATACATTGATACCAAATTATGAACATTTACCTACAATTTTACAAAAAATGTATAATTAAAAAATGCTCATAACTCGATATATAATTAAAATATTTTAAGAAATGTACGTCTTAGTATATAGTCTTACCATTAAATGTTATAATATTTCAATTCACTACAATATGAAAATAATGTGAAAGTAACACGTCCTATGTATATACTTAAATGGATATTTAACTTTGATTGGAATTAAAATATTTTGAAATTTTTTTTTAATATTTTAATTTTACACAATTTTGCATTTTTTTTCCAACACAATATTAATATTTTATAAGCGTTGGATTTTCATGTTAAATAAACATTTTTTTTCGAATATCGTTTAGTGTAGTGAGGTATACGTTAACGAAAGTAGAGGGGCGCATAGTGTTTTCCGCGTCTATCCGCTCTGCCAAGGATTTAGGCTCCTGAAGTAGGCAGTATTGGAGATGTTTAATGCTAAACGTTAAGTGTGTTAAACGGTACGCTGTCACTTAGGTATGAAGTACTTACATCAAAAACAAAAAAATAACATAGTTAAGCGGATAAGCTATATTCTGAGCTTAAAAATGGATATGCAGTGCGTTTGTAAGACGGAGACAACACTATTATGGTTATATAAGACTTATAAAGTATTTTTAAGTGAAACTCGTAGCAATAGTAAATAAAATATTATGCATCTATATACTTACGTTTTGTTAATAACACTTTAGATTGTTTAAACCATATATTAAAGACAATCGACGAATTTTTTTTCTTGTGTCTCAGAATAATTTAATAAAAATAAAATAGGTATTATATTATAGTCATTATTATCATTCAATTATATTCCCATGTTGTTAATTATTATGTCTTCATTCGTTATATGAAATATGAATATATAAAAAAAACCCTTTTAAAAATGAGCTCCTCTTGTATTGACGGGCGGGACACTTTTCAGCCAAAATTAACCTTTCCCTTTTCGGCCAGTTCACTTTTCGGCCATTCTGGAATGTCCGTTTTCGGCCAGTACACTATTTTGGTCACCAATTAAAAATATTTTTTTTTCTATTTAGCTATCATATAATACAGTTATATTTAATACAGATACATTATAATATTATCAATTTACAAAAAAAAAGAACAAAAAGTTATAGGAAAACGTATTTTTTTTTAATAACTAGCACATGCACACATATTCTCTATATTAAGAGTGATTACTAATTATAGTTGGGAATCCAACATCTACGTATACGTTGAATCTATACGTTGACGGTCGATAAAAGTAATAACTAATAACTATCTAGGCGTATAGAATATCTTTCATTGTTATCTTCGTTCTATTATATCGATTGTTCATAAGCCAACTCTGTTTAGTATGTGTTGGTACGTACTACGGCGTGTTCGTATAGTCTTAATAGTCCGGTGTGTACTTAAATTAGTTTATTTTTTTATACACTATGACAAAATGTATCGAAAGTAATCGTGGTAAACGTATGTTAGTGTTTCAAAATTATAAATTTTCGTATGCAAACACTAAACTTGATGGAACAACGCGGTGGAAATGTGTGGTTCGATCGTGCAGTGTTAAATTATACACTGATAAAAATGAAAATTAAATATCCCTATACAATTATTTTTTTATGTAAATTGTAAATTATGTATTGTAAATTGTAAATTATGAAAGTTGTGACTATATTTTTTACGTTTTTAACTTAATAATATTATGAAAATGTTGACTTAATATTTTTCATGTATTTTACTTGACTTAATAGGTACGAGATTTTAAAATAAATTGTAAATTGTAATTATGAAAATTGTGACTATAGTTTTAATAATTTAATATACTTAATAATATAATATAAATTGGTATAGTTTAATAAAAAGAAAATATTTTAATTGGTGACCAAAATAGTGTACTGGCCGAAAACGGACATTCCAGAATGGCCGAAAAGTGAACTGGCCGAAAAGGCAAAGGTTCATTTTGGCCGAAAACGGTTCCGCCCGTATTGACAAGCTGATAACTAAAGACCGGATTTATATTCTCTTAAAATACCCAAAATATGATGCTAATATTCTCTAAAAAACCTTCAAATATTCTCATTATATTCTCTCAAAAATTTAAAAAATATGCAAAAATAATCAAAAATCATCATTATATGCTTTAATATGCATTTATTTTTTAAAATTTTATTTTTAACTTTATTTTTATAGTGAGATATTAATTAGGTATTAAGAGTTGCATATTATACCTAATGGAATAGTATTGCACTTTAGCAAGAGTAAGAAGTTGGAATATAGGTAATATAAATATAACAGTATAGGTAATATCAAAACACAAAAACAAAATATTGATATTTGAATAATTGATAAACTTAAAAGTTGATCTTATCAGTAGATATACATTGATAAACCTTGATAATACTGCGTGTTTTATTTTTATCAAAATGAAAAAAAAAATAAATTGTACCTATAAATGGTCGAAAAAATTTTTTCAGAGTACCGTAATATTAAAATTAATAAAAATAAATACAAATTTTGCTCACAATTTACGAAATATTCCAAAATATGCTAAATGGGTTAAATATTCTCCAACCCATGAAATATTCTCAAATATGCAAAAAAAACTTTTTTCTACGCATTCAGAATTGAACGAATCGTCCACATTTTTTACTCTCATAAGACTGCATAGACCCAGTAACGATATGTAAAAACATATAAATCCGGTCTTTACTGATAACAGATATTTAAACGGGCAAATTCGGCCAACTGGCAATTACGCCTGACGCTTGATTCCCCAAGAAGGTCGTACTACAAACCGATAGCATAGATGTTTACACATCAATAAAGATTGTGGTAATTTGAAATATTTATTCTGTATTATATTTTTAATTGCCATGCCTACCTATTTGATATAATCTTATCTATATATATAAAAATGGAGACAAAAAATTCGAAATTGCATCAGTTGAGAATGGCTGGGCCGATTTTGCTCAAATTTTTTTTAAGATGTTTGTAATTGCCAGGTGAAGGTTTTTACGAAAGAAAATTTTTAAAAAGTCAACCGAATAATTAGAAAAACTGCAAAAACTATTTATTGATGTCTGGGATTTGAACTCAATACCGTTGTCTTTATTTACTCTATATGGTGTATTATATTATAATGGTTGCTATTGGTTAATCGGGCATGTTTGTTGATTTGTATTATTATTTTTTGTAAATATATCTTATATATAAATTAATGACCTATGGGAAGAAGATACGCTAATTTAAAAAGGGTTAAATTTGGTTTTTTTTATTCATCGGATTTTAGTACGGTTAGGTTAGGTTAGGATTAATAGGTAGGTGGAATTAAGTAAAAACGTCAAAGTTGGTATAACTTTGGTACTTTTTGAGTTAAATCATACACTTACGTACAATCGTACAAACAGCACGGGGTCCGCGATCTACCGCAGGTAAATTACCTATCTGATAATGTACTGCTGCAATTCAGAATTTTTATTCTGGGCAACAGAAAAGTTAAGATAAATCTAGAACATCATACACCGAATATTAAATAACGCATTGAACAATGTTTGAGTCATATAGAGTTGGTAAATTTAACGGGAAACGAAGTGCACGGGATCAGCTAGTATATGTATAAAAATGGAGTCAAAAATGTATAACAATTCATCAATTGAGAACGTCTGGTCCGATTTGTCTCAAATTTTTTTTAAGATGTTCGTAATTGCCAGGTGAAGGTTTTTACGAAGGAAAATTTTTAAAAAGTCAACTG